ATACCACCCTTCTCATGGTCCCAAGAAACATTTGGGACAAATCTAAGATATCTAAATTTTTAGCCAAGTTATCGCTTGCACAGATGGACAGACAGATAGTCATTTGAAATTCTACTGGTCTTCATTCGGATCATTTATATATACATAACTCTATATCTATCTCGATTAGTTTTAGTTGATACAAATAACACGTGAACAAAACTTTTAGACTTGGTAGAAACGTGTTTTGAGGGTATAAAACAGTTCTATTTCGATAATATTGGTTATTGACTCTCGATTTATTTAATGTAAAACGAAAGAATCAGGAATTTAAAAGTGCAATACATATATATATTGAGATATAAGGTTTCTCCAAAAGGTGTGCGGTGCCACGCCCATTGTCTAATTTTGACACCGCTTCTTATGAGGCGTTACAATTCCCACAGTAGCCAGTTCTACGTTACAAATCGACCACGATTTAATCCAGTCAAGAGCTGTTATTTCGATGATTTAACCTTGTTTAGATCGATAAGTAATAAATCAACTTTGTTACCACTAGAGCAACTCTTAGCAATTTTCCATCTAAACTCCACCTGAGTTAGGTGTAACACATGCAAAGGATGGAAGATTCTTAATAATATTGAGGTATGTGCCAAGGCCACCAAGTCCCACCCCCAATCTTCATACCGCTCCGCCAGTTCCGTGAAACTGAAATACATCGGAACATTACGTCACTCAGGTGCAACTCTGCATATAACATTTTCCCAAATTTTTGTGATCTATTTTGGGCGGGTGAGACATAACTTCCAAGCCGCTGTTTTCCAAATAGATTTTAACCGGTAAAGTGTTTATGTGTTGTAAAATTATTGCCTCGTGTCTAGTCGCTAATTCCGGTCGTTTTTCGGCAAGCGCTTGCTTTAATTAGACGAACTGTTGTCGGTAACGGTCTCCAATAATGGTCTCACGGATATTCGGGTTTACCGTTGATCGCCAGTCGTAATCAGATGCAAATGACTTTTTTATATAGCATTTCTGATATGTAAAATCGTCTTTCAACGTCTATGGGCTTCAATTCAAATAGCAAAGCTCTCGAGCTCTTATGATTATTACGAAGGTGAGAATTCCCGAAGTTCTAAGAGAAATACGTGCTATAGTGAACTAAGAGGAATTTGTTGAAGGAGATTGGGTTTTGTTATAGAACCCACAACGAAATAAAGGGCTAAATTACAGTGTAGTTGGGACCGACCATATCACCAATCATCGTGTAGTGTGTCGCATACAGACCATTGGAAGGCCTAGGAATAAAACAAAGGTAGTTCATCTGGAACTTCTTGAAGCGTTAGGTACCGCAAAGATGTATAATCGGAATGATCCGACTTAGGTGGATGGCATTGTGGCGAATACGAATGCCAGAACAAAACAGAATCGACGATAAATTGTCAGCGTAGTTGTTAGACCCTTTATATTAGGTTGGCAACTAAGTAATTGCGGATTTCACTCATAGATTGCTTCAGTTGAATTTTTAGGTTTGCTGGCGTAGTCCAAATGTAAAACACATTTTGTTATTTGATAGTTGGCAATTCAGCTCTCAATCAGTAAAAAAAGATTTTTGATCGGTTGCGTAATTTTCGTTTGGCGTTCGTTGAAAAATGGAAGATCAAAAGGAACATGTTCGTCATATTTTGCTTTTTTATTTTCGCAAAGTAAAAAACGCATCGCAAACTCACAAAAAGTTATTTGCTGTTTATGGAGACAAAGCCATAAAAGAACGGCAGTGTCAAAATTGGTTTGCCAAAATTTCGTTCTGGTGATTTTTCACTCAAAGATGAAAAACGCTCTAGTCGTCCAGTTGAAGTTGATGACGACCTAATCAAAGCAATAATCGATTCGAATCGTCACAGTACAACACTTGAGATTGCAGAGAAGCTTCAGGTATCACGCACATGCATAGAAAATCACTTAAAACTTGGCTATGTTCAAAAACTCGATACATGGGTTCCTCACGAACTGAAAGAAACACATTTAACGCAACGCATTAACAGCTGCGATTTGCTAAAGAAACGTAATGAAAATTAACCATTTTTAAAACGAATGATAACTGGCGATGAAAAATGGGTTGCTTACAACAATATCGAGTGGAAAAGATCGTGGAGTAGGCCAGGTTAACCAGCTCAAACAACATCAAAAGCTGGTATTCATCAAAAGAAGATTTTGTTATCAGTTTGGTGGGATTATAAAGGAATTGTCTACTTTGAACTCTTACCACCCAACCGAACGATCAATTCTGTTGTCTACATTGAACGAAATTAAACAATGCATCTGCAATATCCATTTTTCACAAAAAATGTTTGTCGCAATGAAGCTTATTTTTGCTTGATTGGATACGTTAATAAAAAAAAAAATGTTGCATTTGCTTGACATTCACTCGGTAGTGAATTTCAGAACCTGCCTGACCCAATGATTTGTGTAAGATTTGCTCACGTTTATTTTTAAATCTTTATTTTCATTTTACATTACAAAAATCAGAAAATATGAAACAAAGTAACAGATATATTTTTATTGAAAAATAAGTAAGCATTGAAGTAAACAGAGACAAATGTTGAGAACATATATTATATCCTCCTAGGAACATCAAGAGGTCTTTCCTTGATTACGTCGACGACATTAGACAGTATGCCGACCGGACTTCGGACGCAACGAACTTCAGATAGGCACTGACCGCCATTCACAGTGGAGCCATCAACACCGACTCCCTCTCAGTGAATGGCGGACTACGAGTCAAACCACCGCCCATAGCAGACGTAGAGCTGGAGTTGCCTTGCGAAACCAGAGTGACCCTCGAGCAACTTCGTTCTGGATATTGTAGCAGGTTAAACTCCTACTTATCCAGAATAGACCCCCACATTCCTAATACATGTCCTGCGTTCAATGAGTCTCCGCATGACACTAACCACCTCTTTGCATGCCCAACGAGCGAGCCCCTCTCAGCTAACACAGTTTTCCCTATGGTCCGACCCCGTCGAAACAGCTCGTTTCCTGGGCCTCCCGTTAGATGACCTCGACGACAACCAAACAACAAATATCTTAATTTAACGTCTTTTATGGGTTCTTCTTTATAATTTTCCAGTTAACAATCTCAATGCATCTAGGAGCAAGCGAATTACTTTGGAGTAAAACTGGACATATAGTAGATTTTAATTTTCCTGTTAACAATCTCAATGCTTCTAATCGCAAGCAAATTACTTTTGAGTAAAACTGGACATATAGCAGATTATAGGTTAAGATATATCCACGTGTGATTATTATTGAACCTTACTTGTAAAACCTTCCACATAATTTTTCCCATATTTTCGGTAAAGAGCATGAGATGTTGGTATGGGCGAAAAAGTGGAACAGATCCCTAAATATGACCGGAAAAATGTACATATTATATTACCAATAAGCCGATTATTGATAAAAATATAAGAAATGCAAATATCAAACAAAAAAAAAGAAGACATTCAATATTTTCATGAGTTCTCTGGGCACTTGAAACCATCAAAATTTGCTAAGATATCCAGGGCAACAAATAATATAGTTTTTTCGTAAAGCGTGTTATTTGACTGGGGTATATGAGGTCCTCATATTCGGTATATGGAGGCCGTGAAATTGTACGAAGAATTTCAACCGTTTGTAGATGATTGATGCAATACTATTTCTGCAAGGTTAATATACCGATATCATCATTGATGCATGATTTATAAATTGTAAATGTGGTGGAAAAATATCAAGGACCATAAATAATGATTATTGTTGCGATTTTTAAATGAAAAAATCAAGCACTAAAAGTCGACATACAAAAAACAGATAACGTTATGTTAATACTTTTTTCGACGACCTTAGCATTTCCATAATGATTTTTTGATTTAGAATTTTTATGATTTTCTTCACCAATAATGATTAATTTTTCAAAAAATTATAAATAACTATTATTTTTGAGCAAAAAAAAATTAAAAACATAAATAATCATGCAAAGTTAAATAAATTTTTAGATAACAGGTTTGTTATGAAGGTTTTTGCTAACTTTGTTGCAGGTCCTTTTAGAACACATCTCAAGAATGAAATTTATGGTATGGTATTTCCGCCCCTCCGAAAATAAAAAATCGAATATTAAGCGCAACTATTGAGGTAGGGCCCTTCACACACTGGATATGTCCTGGTATGCATGGAGATTGCAAATTTTATTACCATTGTATCCAAAACTTGACAGTTATTCAAAAAGTGTCGGCAAATACGATTGTAGCTGCAACGAGTTCATCGAAATAATAATTTCTTACCAAATTTTTTTGTTATTTCCAAAAGAGAAAAGGAAGATATATTTTTGTTCTAAAGGAGCTTGCAACGAAGTTAGCAAAACACTTCATAAGAAACCTGTGATTAAAAGTGTTTTATTTTGAGCACAAAAAAAATAAAATATAATGATTATTTGTGATTTTTAATGTTTTTGTTCAAAAATAATAACTCTATGATTTTTTGCAAAATTAATCATTATCCCTAAAATTGTGTTATATGCGAAGTAGGTGTGGTTGTAGTACAAATTTTCAAATTCTTATATAAATATGCCAAGATAATGTTGTGCAGAAATTGGTCGAATAATTTGGTGGATACCTATAACTTTGGCACTTTGTAAAATATGTGCATAAAATCTATTAGTGGTAAGACCACGTTTACCTTTTTAAAATACCCCCGTTTCAAATTTATTTTTACCAGTATATTTTCTTTCGATTTACGATTACGGATTTATGTCCATCAACAATACTAACCTCCTCAGATTGCCAAGGAACACATATGCAACTCTTACCAAAATATCTGCATTTTTATTCACATTATGCCTTGCACGAAAAAAAATGGACGGAATAATAGACAGACATAAAGAATTGAATTCGCCTCGAGAAAACAAAAATTAACAGACATTATTTTTTATAATTTTTTTAATAACATAGAGTTTCAATAAAGTTTAAATATTATATAAGCAAACATACCTGAACTCCTCCAGAAGGCTGATGTATCATGATCCGAGCATTGGGGAGGGAATATCTCATCCCTGTAGTACCTGCAGTTAACAGTAAAGAACCCATAGAACATGCTTGACCAACACACCATGTTGAAATTGGGGGTTTTACATACTGCATTGTATCATATATTGCCAGTCCTGCAGTTACAACTCCGCCAGGAGAATTAATGTACATATGAATTGGTTTGTTAAAATTTTCTGATTGTAGAAATAACAGTTGGGCCACAACTAAGGAGCTTAGATCGTCATGTATCGGTCCCATTACACACACTATACGTTCCTTTAATAACCGTGAGAAAATATCGTAAGCGCGCTCGCCTCTACCCGTTTGCTCAACAACCATTGGAATAAGATGAATATATCTTTTGTTTGACGTTGTTTTTCCCTAAAACAATAACATTGCAAACAACAACAAATTAAATAATATAATCTAAATAAACACAAGTCGTTCCAGAAAAACAATTTCAGGCTTTACTTCGAACAAACCACAATTAAAATTAAATACATACTTGTATATATTTTTTTTCAAATTCAGCGTAAACTACATGATGTTTAAAAAAATATCTGCATTTAATTTCATTTTAGAAAAAAGCGGAAATCACTATTGCATTAACTTTTGACATTACTCAAGTATACTCCAGAACATGTTTTCATTCAGTTTTATGAAGATACTCACGTACTGACCGACATATTCAGAATGTAGTGAATGGGAGCTGGCATAACTCGTGTATCGATTTAAAACCTTAGTACTAATTTGATCTACTTTTATAACTACCACCTCAAATACTTCATAGATTGACCCATGAATATGTTAAAAAGCTCGATTTTATCCATTTTTGACACAAAGGCACATTACTATCATATCATATTACCGATAGCTTGACTGGTGCTTGATTTAAAATTGTTATATATTTATATGGTATGTATATGAAACAGGAGTGATTGTGGTCCAATTTAGCCCAGCTTCGCAATGTAACATAGGAATACCAGGATAATGTTAGGCACCAAATTTATGATTTCATCTTAAAGTGGGCGGTGCCCCTAGATAAGGATAGATGTATGCACCGCTACCTATGGTCATTGTGACCTGTGACTCCTATGCATTCTAACACTAAATGCTTCGGACGTGTTTTTTTTTAAGAATTATCGCACTTTTAATAGTTTTCAACATAACCGTTATACAGGAAGTGGGCGTGATTACCACCCGATTTCACACACTTTCACATTGTGTGCGGAAGTGATAGAAAAACCCTCAGCTAGTGTAGTCGATATAGCTTTAGTTGATTGCGAAATATGTATATTAAACATTCTAGATGTTGGCGCCACGCCCACTTTTAAAAACTTTTAAACCAAACATTCCCTTTCCATTACGATCCCCTGTACCAAATGAATCATGGTGCAGTAAACAAAAAATAAATGTTACCAATTTCTTCAAAAGAATAAAAAACAAAATTAAAAGAAAATTCAATAGAAAATTCATAATCGTGTGATAACTAACGCAAAATATTTCAGAATTTCTTTCTCTTGATCTTCTGGCGGCTATATCTGTATATATTTTTGATCTGGAGAAAGTAAATATAGGATTACCCATAGCCATAAGAACATCTTTGCTGGCATTTATGTTGCCGCTATAAATTTTTGAAGAAATGAAAGTAAAGCATCAAGTCATCAAAAAGACAGATATTGACAGCAATGGTTATTTGTAATTTAGATAAGTTTTTCATAACATGTGCAATACGCATGCTCTTTTGGCAATATTAACAGCGGTGTCTAGACAACATCTCTTGCTTGTCAGCGCGCCGCGTTAAATCAAAGATTTTTTTTGTTATCACTATCGGTAATTGTAGCTGAGCCGAGCGAGCCCAACACCTTGATGAAGCGACAGAGGTCGAAGGAGGGGGAATCCTCCCACGGTACGAAATCGCTAAACTCGCCAGATCAATAGAGCTCGGTGTGTATGACCGCAGCAGGGGAAATAGAGCCATCTCCCATGATGAGTGAAAGCGGGTAGCGGCCGCTGTTTTTATGAAGGTGGTCAGGGGAAGCGCTGGACCACCCCAAGATATGAAAGTGCCGGGTGGAACCTCGGCAATTATAAACTCATAAGGTGTGCCGACGAACGGTCGGCATTCCTTTATAAGGTGGGAAAGTTTGAAAGGGAGCAAGGCTCGAGGCGGTGGCCAAATCGGATCTCCCGATGTGCCTTCGGGCTCGTGTCTGGCTTCCGGCCGAACCCTCTACCCCAACCGAAGTTGAAGAGATATTGCGGTACTGCAATAATCTCCCCCAAATGGGAAAGTGGACATCGACCCTATCCTCTCGGATGTGGTGTGCAGGGGGGGGCGGCCCGTCAGAAGATGATGGATCCATTTTCAGTCTCGATCGCCTGTTCGAGGAGGCTGGGATCGATAGTACAGATGATGGTGCGGAACTCGCACTGCTGGAGAGAAGTTTGGAAGATGAGGATCCTCCAAACTAACCTCCAGCGCTCAAAGGAGGCCTGCGCCGATCTATTGCTTCGTCCTTATCCAAGAACCGTGGCTGAGCAGCAACGGAATCTCTGGTTTAAGGACAAGAAGCCATAGGCTCCTGGCGGCAAGCAGCACAGGTAGAACCACAGCCTACTTGTTGATCAGAAATGAACTTAACGTTTTTCTTTCGCTTAATTTCAGCAACGAGGATGTCGTCACTGGTAGGCTGAAGTGCTGGAGAACTCTGGTTTATCTCAGCCTAGCTGCTGAGGAGGGCTGTGGCAGACGCCAGGCACAAAAGAGCCGCAGTCTTAATAGGCTCGGATGTCAATTCAAGGCACACCGTCGCGGAGAGCTCGAATATTAACGCAAGAGGAGAGTCCCGTTTTGATTTTATTTGTAGTGTAGACCTTTCTAAATGCAATAGGGGAAACTGCCCTACCTTTGTGATAGCTAGCAGGGCGGAAGTCCTTGACGTTACGCTAGCCTCTAGGGGAATTTCTCCCTTGATTTCGAAATTGAGGGTTCTAGACGACCCTTCCTTCTTCGATCATAAGTATATTGGTTTCAGCTTGAACGCCTCGCGCCCGGAGCTCAAAACCTATAGAAGTTTCAGGAATATCAACTGGGTCCTGTATTGCAGGAAGCTTCGTTCAGCTCTTTCAACCGCACCCTAAATGGATTCGATCCTAACTGCGGATGCGATTGATGAGCTCGTCGAGGCTTTCAGCTCAGTTAGTAGAACTACTCTTGAAAGCTACTGATCTCTGAGAACTCAAAAAAGCAAAGGGAAAGCCCCTTGGTGGACTTCGGAGCTAACGGAGATCAGATCTTCGAGCAGAATACTTTTCAACAAAGCAAGTAAAAGGGACTCTAGTGACGACTGGGCTTTGTCCAAGGCTGGACTGTCATTTACAAGTCCGAGTTCAAGAAAACCAATAGAGCCTCGTGGAGAACCTTCTGCGGTAGTGTAGAGGTTTGTCATGATTCCTCACGGTTTAAGCGCATTCTTGCAAAAAATCCTACTCCATTGTGGTATCTGAGAAATGCAGATAGTAGTTGAACAACGAGCAGCGAGGAGTCAGTGAAGCCACACCTAGATGCTCATTTTCCGCTAAATTGCTCTGGGGGAACTTTAGGATGTCTGTACAGCCTTTTTGGACCTTTTGGATGATCGTCACCTTACCTGGGCGTTGAAATCTTTCAAACCCTTCAAATTCCCGAGGCCTGATGGCATTATACTAGCGCAACTACAGTGTACGGTCAAGATGTCATGTAGCTGACTGACCCCCATCTACGCGAACTGGTTTAGATTGGCCCATGTCCCGAAGGCGTGGAGACCGGTTAAGGTTAGGTTTATTCTGAAGGCCGGTAAAAGGTCTCATGTCGGTGGAAAAGATTTCAGACCCATCAGCCAATCTGCGTTTCTGTTGAAAACTTTGGAGAGACTTATGAATCTGTACATTAGGAGCAGAATACCGCGGGGTAAACTGTTACGAGCGCAGCATGCCTATATCAAAGGCAGATCGGTAGACACTGCTTTGCTGTAGAGTGACAGTCTATGCTGATGATGTGGTTCTATGGTTCAGGAAAAATTCTTAAATATCGTATACGAGCTCACCAAAGGGTACCTAAACGTGTTATTTAACTGGGCGGCCTAGCCGTCAACTCAAGTATCGAAATGGTTTCATTTACTAGGAGGTATAAGATCCCAAATGTGCCTCTCCCCTTATTCGGGCGTTCACGTCTTCAACCTGATAATAAAGTGAAATACCTAGGGCTTAGCCTCTGGCTAAAAAGCTTGAGCTGGTCCACGGAGCCTACACCAACACTTTAGCTCTTAATGCTATTTTAAATATAGTACCTGTGGACTTTGCTCGTAGGTGCATTTCTGCGAAGTGTGCTTTAAGGCTCAGGGAAGCTGGTTTTTCTCCTTCAGCAGCATTCCGGAAAATTTAGATCACTGCGTCACGGAGGCCACTCTCATATGCCGACGAAGGACATGTGGATGGGAAGAAGCCGCTGGAGAAGAGGCACCTCTTCTTTTTAAGCTTTTTCACGGATGGATCGAAGCTAGAAGGGAAAGTTGGAGGGGGGGGAGTTATCAGCAAAAAGCTCTCCGTAAATCTTAGCTTCAGGACCACTGTAGTGTTTTGCAAGCGGAAGTGGCTGCTATCAAGGTGGCGGTAGAAGTACTGCTACATCATAAAATGCCTAGCTGGTCTACCCTTGAATGCGCAATTGCTCTGTGGCCTTCTTGACCGCACCTCCGACAGACATCTGATTTGGCCTTACACTCAGCCACTTTGTGATCAAAACCCATACACCGAAAGCAGCCAGCAAAGGGCTATCTGGTCGCACCCGAAAGGAGAACCACTTAATGTAGTACCTACCTGCCTCCAAGAGGGTGGACATCATTTTGTTCGTACCCTCTAGGACAGTGTTTTTCAATCTGTGGGTCGCGACCCCTAAGGGGGTCGCAAAGCCTTACTCGGGGGGTCGCCAGCTGAAAGAAAAAGTCGAGGTTCTTACACAACAAAAACACAATTTTAATGAGAAAGATATGCTTGTTTATTTTTCATTAATTTATCAAATTGTGGTGTTATTTTTGAAACATTAATAATTTAATCATTTTCTAATTGCAGTCTATTTCTCTTTTTAGTTTTAATGTCTACCATTGAAGAAAATGTCAGTATGAAGTGGCGAATGGCACTAATAATTTAAGAGCTTCCCTTGCCAGCTCTGGATATTCGTGTTTTCTTTTCATCCAAAATACGTCGACACTTTGCGAATAAAATTCCATTTTAAGCATGCCATCAGTAGCTAATTTTAGAAGACATTCTAAGCATATTCTGATTTTGCATCTTGTAAGAATATTAACAAATCAGCTCTCAGTTCCAGAACTCTTGTCAAT